TTAAGCGAGGCAATCGTTACACGAGGCACCACTGTATTTAGAGGCTTGCTCATTTCCAAACATACGGCCATGAGCTTCTGTTTCTCAACCCTGCCTTACATAGCTTCTCGGGAAAGAGGTTCAGAACATCAGATTCTGAATAATCTGGAGAAATCATTCAGAAGGAATCTTTGCTTCAACATGACAGGTGTGGGCCACTCAAAGGGAGACAGTCCACAGAACAACAGCAAAGTAAATGCTTGGCACAGATCGTAAGTTCAATCCCAAGCATCTCCAGGTAGGACTGGGAAAGGATTCTTAACTGCTAGTTTATATTAATATTATTCAACTAGAATTGAATGGGCTACCCGGTGTGGTGTAGTGGAAATAGAGTGACAGACTAGAACTTAGGAGACACGAGCTCAAATCCCTGCTTGGCCATGGAAACTCACTAAAGGGATAAAACTGATAAAATCACTGCTTAAATATCTCACTTAGCTTGAAAACCATGTTGCTATTGTTGTTGTGTGCTGTCAAGTCGCCTCTGATTTATGGAAATCCTATGAATTAGCAACCTCCAAAAAAAAGTCCTGACCTCAACAGCCCTGCTTATCTCTTGCAAACTCAATCCTTTACTTACTTAACTTTACTTTATTTGGACTTATACCCCACCCCTCTAGACAAAGTCTACTCTACAAAAGGGCTCGGTCCATCTCATACTGAGTTTTCCTCTTTTCCTGCTGCCTTCCACCTTTCTCAGAAAGCTCTATTAGAGACGTGATTAATCTGGTTCCAAACTTGATGGCACATTATCACCAGGGGTGGGAGAACGTCTGGGAGTTCATAGCCCAAAAAGTAACTTCTCCAAGCTCTGAGATGCTGATGGAGTCCTCTTCTCAGAAGCTACTCAGGAACAAGAGAGGGTTGTCCAATCAGAATAGCATTATGACTCTTCAGGGCACCAAAAGAAAAATCAGCCTATGATTTCAGCTGACCAAGAGTTTTGGCACGCAGCTACCTTTGACAAGAAGCAATGTGAGTTAGCACTAATTTGCCCACCCACAATAAGGAGATGAAGATTATTTCAAAGTCAGGCTTGTCACGGAAGAAAATGGGACAGTATCCTCTCCCAGCTGTATCACTCAGTAGCCCTAAAACAAAATATTGAAATAGTAAGAGAGGATGGAGAACTTACGACTCTCCAGATGTTGGGCTGCAACTCCCATCATTTTGAGCAAGCACAGCCAATGGGAGCAATAGCTCAGCAACATCTGGAGGAGTAGACCATTTCTCACCGCTGTCATAAAGCTTGGAATGGAGAGCTTTCCTATCCAGAGATTATCCTCCTCCCTGGGCATCTCAAAGCCCATTTTCCCTACATAGGGAATATTTGGCATATAAATCAATCACACTGCCTGGATTGTTTTACAGCTAATGTAAAAAAATGCCTGCAGGCATGCAGAAGTGGGGGTTCGGGAGACACACAGTTGGCAGGTTAAGGTGACGAATATTGAGAAAAAGCGGCAGCTCTCATTGTGCTATTTATTTCCGTCAGATGCTCACAAGGTAATCAGAACAGCTCCTTTACGATTCTGCCTCCGATTAAACGTATATAATCCCCCTTCCTCCTCCTTTATGCAACAAGAGGGTTATGTATTTCATGTGAATAAAACACGCAAGGCCATCCCCCAGTTTCTGCCAGGGGAAGAAAGACTCAAACCAAATTGACATTGGCACGGTGCAGACCAGAAGAAGAGATGGAAAAGAACAGAGCGGAAAGTGTGCTTATGCATGAAAAGATGGGCACCCCTCAGTTCTGTTTCAATGGGAAAAAGAGTCCAGCCTCTGAGGTGCTATGTGTGGCGGTTCGATCTTGCTAGTGTTGGCATACAGAGCAGTTCCCAAAGGCAGAGATTTATGGGCAGAGCACATGTCTTCAAGTATCTCCACTCTGATAAAACTTTGGTCCTCCTGGCATCCACCCCTGGCTCATTAATGGGTCCCTTTTTTTTTTTTTGCTTCTCTCTCGTTTTGGCTCATAAATGACCAATTGTATTTTTCGCACCATAAGACGCACTTTTCCCCCACAAAACAGGGGGGGTGGAAAGTCTGTGCATCTTATGGAGCGAAGAAAACAGATTATATTTTCCTGTTTTCTTCTCCTAAAAAATGGTGCGTCTTATGGAAAGGTGCATCTTATGGAGCGAAAAATACGGTAACTTAGGCTCTGTCGTTCTGTGGTTCCTTCTCAACCTCTG